AACAATGTGAAGTTTGGGGGTCTATTTGATATTTTTAAATAGTTTGGGAGTTAAAATAAAATTTTGGTGTCACATCAACAACTTTCATTTGATTATAAATGACGGCTAACGGCATGGATAAAATTGATCTAAAATAGTTTAGGTGTAAAATTAAAATTATAAAAAAGACAGGGGTTACATTTATTAGGTTTCTTGGCCTATATATACAGGCTTCTCCTATTGTATTGGATTAATTCAATAATATAGTTCATATACTTTTCTCTCTCTATTATTCTGACATTATCGAAGTATAATTTTGCGGGTAATAATTCTAATATAGAACAGACGTAGAAAGTAAAATCATAGTTGATTCTAACAGAAATCTTAGGCACATATAAACCGAACGCAGAAGAAATCTCAAACATTCCCATGATAACACATTGAATATTTAAGCTCATGCGTTAACACAGTACACTTATTCTGAAAACACATTCACTCTCACTCACATTAATACAAACATAGAAACTGTTTCACATGCAGATGCATAATAGTTTGTTGAAATAAAATAGTGGATGACAGGGTGGTGGCCTGAGCAAACAACATCAGATCAACGTCGGGAGGGGGGCGAAATAATAATCATAATTAGGGCAATGACAGTCTGTGTGATAGTGAGGAGGAGGAGAAAAGCAGCTGCCATAGTGGCAACAGTAACCCATATATTTTTGAAGTAATCACGCTTCAATGAAGCTTTTGTTTTGTTCCACCATCTCTTGCAATGAGCGTTCACTTCGCTGCACATTTCAGCATAGTAGAGCTGATCCTCAATTATTGTTCCGTGACCCAGTTTGTTAAACATAAGTGCCACCTCTTCGTCATCACCCAGACAGTTGTCAAGAACACCATGGCTACGAAGTTGTTTCACATCTTCTTTGGAGTTGATAAGTAGACCCATGAAGTATGTATAATCGGTGAAATATTGTTGTTTGTCATCTGAGGAATGTTGCTCATAGGCAATGATGTTACGGAAGAATGTTTCTGTCCAATCATCGACCTCAAACTTTGGTATTTTAAAATGACCATGTTCGAAGCGGATATCGAATATGCTGAGGTTGGGCTTATCATCATCCTCCACAACCTCGAACTTGATACCAGCGTCCCGAAGCTCTATCACAGACGGCATCATAAAGGAAGTTCTCTGATTCTTGTTTTGGCATTCATTTGACTTTTCTCTGGAGGAGGGGCGATAAACATTATGCAACAAGTCAAGAAAGTGCTTGCTTTCAGAGACGGATGTATCTTTAAAACTGATAATGGAAATGTCGAACTTTTTTGGCATGATCCGACAGAAAGGATACGTAACCGACTGCATGGGGATGAAGGTAGAAGGAGGATTTTGGTTTGAATTTTGGGTCCCGGTTTATAAAAAAAAAAATTTAAATATAACAGTGAGATTTAAAAAAAAAAAAAAAAAAAAAAGAGGGGGGAGTTCACTCACCGTTTTCACCTTGTAGTTATGGCTAATGATGGAAATGGAACCGGATCGTCAGTTAGCGGTACTGACCCAATGGACCAAATTATGAAAAGAGCAGTTACCAGTTTTCTACGAGTATTACAAACCAGCATAAGTAACGAAATGCCTGAACGACGAGAAAAGCCAACTACAATAAAACAGTTCCAGGACTTAAAACCTACCATATTCATCGGCAGTACAAACCCACTGACGGTAGAAGCTTGGGTCAGAGATATGGAGAAAATTTTTCTTGCGCTACCTTGCACAGAAAGACAGAAGGTGACTTTTGCCACATTCACCTTCAAAGACGATGCACAAGAATGGTAGCTTCTTACCCTAGAGAAAGAAGATATTGTGACTTGGGCAAGATTCTTAGAGGTATTCTATGAAAAATACTTTCCAGATTCACTGCGGGAACAAAAGACGGCAGAATTCATACATCTAAGGTAAGGAACCATGACAATGGCCAAATACGAGAGCAAGTTCACGCAACTAGCTCGATTTGCGACATACGTCATCCCCATCGAAACTCAAAAAGCCAGGAAATTCAAAGCAGGATTAGATGCTAAAATCAAGCACAGGCTGGAAGTTTTGAAACTACCAAACCTATGAGGAGGTGGTAGATTGAGCATACATTGCAGAAAAAAGGTTTAAAGCCTTGTGCTCCAGAGAACCAAGCCAAAGGAAGCGATTTTGGGAAAGAGATAACAGAAGACCCGGTGTCGTGCCTCCTAAGAGGGCAAATATGGGCACAACCAGTTCAACCAGTACAAGCAATCAAGATCCTATAAATCCCAAGGTAGCACCATTCCAACTTGCTTTACCTGTGGAAGGACTCATTAGGGGCAATGCCATCGAGACAAGGGAGCATGCTTTAGATGTGGCCAAGTTTGCCACTTGCTAAGAGATTGTCCAAAGCTTGCCAATCCTACAGCCGACCCCTTTGAACCAGTCAGAGAACCTGCGGTACCAGGAGGAGTGAGGAAGGACTAAAAAGGCCAAGGAAGAGCTTTTGACTTGGTGCCTGGAAATCTAGAAGTTACTGAGAATGTTGTGTCAAGTACACTTTCTGTTTGTGGTCACTTAGCTCATGTTCTCTTTGAGTTTGGTTCAACTCATTCTTTTGTTACACCACACTTTTCTACCAAGTTGGCATTAACACCCAAACCCGAAGGATATATACTATTTGTGTCTTTTCCTTCTGGTAACTCCGTCCTTAATGCTGATGTGTACAAATCTTGTACTGTATAATTAAAAGGGGAAACCTTATACATAGACTTGATTCCCCTTTGCATTAGTACCTTGGATGTGATCTTAGGAATGGATTGGTTAGCTGCCAACCATGCCTCTATTTATTATGAAGCCAAAAAGGTCTTCCTCCGGTCACCGAACCAACTCGAGCTTATCTTTGAAGGAACTGGAGTCTCTCCCTCTCCATGTGTTATATCCTTCATGACAGCCCAACAACTTCTAAGAAAAGGTTGTTGTAGTTATGTATGTTATATGATCAATACTCAACAAGAGGCCCTCATATTTGATGCAATCCCAGTGGTTCGAGAATTCTCGGATGTATTTCCTGAAGACCTACCTGGCACCCTGGTTGACCGAGAAATCGAATTCAACATTGAAACCCCACTTAGTACACAACCAATCTCAAAAGCCCTTTACCTCATGTCCCTGACAGAATTAAAAGAGCTGAATACTCAACTCTAGGAACTATTGGACAAAGGTTTCATTTGACCAAGTACCTCACCGTGGGGAGCTCTAGTACTATTTGTAAAGAAAAAGGATGGCACGATGATGTTATGCATTGATTACCGGGAATTGAACAAAGTTACCATCAAAAATTGGTACCCTCTACCACGAATCGATGACTTGTTCGATCAACTGCAAGGCGCCCAAGTGTTCTTAAAAATTGACTTGCGTTCTGGCTACCATCAACTAAAAGTCAAAACGAAAAGCGTTGAAAAGATTGCCTTGAAAACCCGTTACAGGCACTGCGAGTTTCTTGTCATGCCATTTGGTGTCACAAATGCTCCAGCAGCCTTCATGGACCTCATGAACCAAGTGTTCAAACCCTATCTGGATGAGTTCGTCATTGTCTTCATTGATGACATTCTTGCGTATTCCAAATCACCAAAAGACTATGAGCAACACTTATGAACGGTTTTACAAACACTAAGTGTTCACAAACTCTATGCCAAGTTGATGAAATGCGAATTTTGGATCACTAGTGTACACTTTTTCGGTCACGTCATTAACAAAAACGGCATCTCAGTTGACCCCCAAAAGGTTGCAGCAATCGTGGATTGGCCGCGACCTACTAACATGTCCAAGATTCAAAGCTTCTTGGGTCTAGCCAGCTATTACCAGCGCTTCGTGCATGATTTCTCGAAGATAGTATCACCCTTGACCCATCTAACTTAGAAAAACACACCCTTTGAATGGACGAACAAGCAGGAACGCTGCTTCCAAGAGTTGAAAAACAAGCTTGTGACAGCTCCTATATTGGCACTCCCCACAGGAATTGATGGGTTTGTAATTAATAGCGATGCCTCACACAATGGTTTGGGTTGTGTTCTTATACAGAATGGGAAAGTCATTGCATATGCCTCGCGACAACTAAAGACTCACGAGAAAAACTACCCAACTCACGATCTAGAATTGGTTGCAGTAATCTTCGCCTCAAGATCTGGAGTCATTATCTCTACAGTGCAACCTGCGAGATTTGCACTGATCACAAGAGTCTTAAATATCTGTTTACGCAGAAGGAACTGAATATGCGGCAACGCCGATGGTTTGAATTTATGAAGGATTATGATGTAGAGATCCATCACCATCCGGGCAAAGCTAACGTGGTAGCAGACACATTAAGTCGAAAGACTACTAAGATCAATGGACTGCTCGCCACCATAATTGTGGAACCCACATTGATTGAAGAAATTAAAGCACACCAAGGTGAAGACAAACTTTTGAAGAAAAAGTACGAGGAGCAGAAAACTACTCCTAACCCTGACTTCACTATAAGTAATGGAATGCTAAAATTTCGAAATCAAATTTGCGTACCTAATGTTCCAGCACTCAAGAAAAAAATATTAGTGGAGGCTCATAGCTCGAGATTTGCAGTCCACCCTGGTAACACCAAGATGTATCACAATATGAGGGAACACTACTAGTGGACAAGAATAAAAAGAGACATAGCAAGCCACGTCTCCAAATGCTTGCAATGTCAACGTGTTAAAGCAGAACATCAGAGACCTGTAGGAATGCTGCAACCACTCCCTATTCTTGAATGGAAATTGGAGCACATTACTATGGACTTCATGGTCTGGCTACCATAATCAGTTTCAAAGAATGGTGCGATATGGATTATAGTAGATCGATTAACGAAGTCGGCACATTTCCTACCAATCAGAATCACGTACTCTCTTACTAAATTCGCCACTCTATACATCAAAGAAATCATTCGATTGCATGGTACCCCAGTTTCAATCGTGTCTAACCGAGACCCCCGCTTCGTACCTCACTTCTGGAATAGATTGCAAAAAGCTTTGGGAACAACACTGAAGTTTAGCACTGCTTATCACCCGCAAACTGATGAGCAATCCGAAAGAACAATCTAGACTTTGGAGAACATGCTACGAATGTGCGTGTTGGACCTCAAGGGTAATTGGGATGAGCACCTACCTTTAGTGGAATTCGCCTATAACAACGGCTACCACACAAGCATTGGTGTGGCACCATATGAACCTATAATAATAGCTACCATGCAAGCATCGGAATGGCACCATACGAGGCACTGTATGGAAGACGATGTCGATCACCTCTGTGTTGAACGGAAGTCGGAGACAAGAAATTGTAAGGTTTCGAAATCGTGCAACTTACAAGTGAAAAAATTCAACTCATCCAATAACGAATTCGCACTGCCCAAAGCTGCCAGAAAAGCTATGCAGATACACGAAGACGGGACTTAGAATTTCAAATAGGAGATCATGTATTCCTAAAGATCTCACCAACAAAAAGGGTTATCCGATTTGGGAAGCGGGAAAAGTTAAACCTATGTTACATCGGGCCATTCGAGATACTAGAAAGGATTGGCCTTGTGGCATATCGCCTTGTGCTTTCACCCGAACTGTTCAATGTCCATAATGTGTTTCACGTTTCGATGCTTCATCAATATCTTCGAGATCCAAAGCATGTTGTCGATTATTAGAACTTGGAAGTTCAAGAAGACCTCTCTTATGAAGAGCAACCTGTGCAGATTCTCGATCGTCGTGATCAAGTCCTTTGAAACAGACTATACCTCTTGTGAAAGTCTTATGAAGAAACCATCATGTTGAAGAAGCAACATGGGAAACTAAAAGCCAAATGCGAGCTAAATACCCACACCTCTTCGAAAACCAAGGTACGTCAAGTTTGGAGACAAACTTCTTTTGAGGAGAGGAGAAATGTGACACCTTTAATTCAATACTGCAATAAATAGAACTCCTTATTATTATTATAATAATAATAATAATAATAATAATAATAATAAAAAAAACAAATCAAAACCATGTTAGCAAAACAAAACCATGTTAGATTTTTGTGGGCCAAGGTTACTTTTGAGCCAAAGGTTAATTTGGCCCTTGGTAACTTCATAAGGTTAAAAAAAAAAGGGCCAAAGGCCAATATAAGTAGCATTACTCCTTAAGGCCAGCACAAAGCAACGTGGCAATATTTGGCTTAGGAATCTTGCGTGGTAAACAAGTTGAGAGCTTATAAATAAGGACTCCGTAGGATATAAGAGAAGCAACGAAGTAGGAAAGAAGCAACAGGCAACAAAATAG